AATACACTGAAAGGGCAAAGGAGTAGAATTGAAGAGCTAGAAGCCAGAACTAGTGAGCTAGAAGCTAAATCTCTCAACACTACTAAGATAGAAAAGCAAGCACTAAAAAGGATTAAAAAAATCTGAATAAGGCATAAGATTCATGGTGGACAATATGAAGAGGAATAACAAGAATTATTGGCATTCTGAAACAGGAAGAATCACACAAGTCCACAGAGGAAATAGTTGAAGAGCTTCTGGAAGAAAATTTCCCTAACATCCTGAAAGTGAAAAGATAAGCATTCAAGAAGCTCAACAAACCCCAGGAAGGATAGACAAGACATATAAAACCCTGAAAGAAAAAAAACTGCCACCCAAGAATCCTCTACCCAGCAAAGCTGTCAAATACGATGGTGTAATCAAAACATTCCAGGATTAACAGAAGCTAAAGGATTTTGCCAAAGTCAACCCTGCTATGAAAAACATGCTAAAGGAAGTTCTGTGGACTGCGAACCAACAAGGACAACCACCAGAGAACGACATCGTGGCAGCATCACCCTGAACTCAAATCGACAAATAGTCAAGAGCAGAATAAAATTATAAGAACAGAGGATCTGGGAGGTCAGTCTATGATTAAAACAATTACAATGTGTAAGGAGGTAGACACAGAGGAACAGAGATCCAGGTGGTGAGAAGTTCAGGAAGATCACAGGATAAAATAGACCATCTTAAGTGGAAGAAAGAACTAATGGCATATAAGGTAACCACAAAAGTGGGGTTGGGGTGGGGGGGGTTTAGTTCGGGTGTTGGGGAGGGCAATACAAGAAGGTGGAGGAGGTGGAAGAACAAGATAGGGGAACACTGAGACAGGTTTGCATGGCCTAGTGGGACAGAGGTAAATAGTGATGCATGCTCAACCTTGGAAGAAGGTTCTGTGATACAGCGATCTAGGCATAGCTTGAAGAGGGGAAATATTACTAAAATGTTTGACTGTCTTAAGAATATTGGTTTCCCTTGCCTACTATTTAAAATAGACACCTGAGCGGCATAGAATGAAATGTTGGGAAACATGATTACAGAAAACTGTCTTCAGCCGATAACTGATTGGAATACCTAAAGAACTTGCTCAGTGAAACAGGCCTCTTGCAAAGCCTTTGCAGAAATA